ACGTTACATACGGATTCAAAGCAAACTGTGCAAATGTAGGAAAAACCTTCATACATGTGGAGGAATAAGTGCACTTTGGTTTTCTTCGGTGTGCAAAGTTGTTCATGAAGCTAATACTTCTGGAATGTAGTAAGAAAACACGATTACTGTAAAAATAATGAGAATGTTTGTGTAAACTCGTTGGTCGACCGTAAACCATCGGTTAAAGTTTGCTGATTTCTTTTTCTCCTCATAATCAAAACAAGAAAAGAAAAGAAAAGTGAAATAAAATCAGTAGATGGTACCACACGGACATAACCTAAAGAAGACAGAAGTCGATTTGAACGCATTTTCAAACTAAGAAGAGCAGCAAATCTCACCGGAAGAGTCTCAAAACCTATGAACTGATCCACTGTGAGACGCGTTTGATTGGCTTGTGAGTGATCGCTATCCTGCTGATTGAATAAAACAGATCGAGTCAAAGCAGCGCCGTCAGTCGCTGGTGTCTCTGTCCAGCCTGCAGACCTCGGCGGCGGATCCGGGCCCGCAAGAACCGAAGACGCCGAGTCCCTGGTGGAGCGGCTGAGCGAACGTGGTCTGGACTCTGTGGATCAAAGCCATGTTGTCGGCGGCTCTGTAGAAGCTCAGAACGCCGGCTCTGTGGTCCAGATAGACTCCGATCCTGGAGGCCCGAGGCGCCGAGATGAAGGTGCTGCCGCCGCCGTGCCTGAACTCGTAGTGGTGGCCGAAGCACTCCAGGGCCCAGGAGCGCTCGTCGTTCCCGAACCCGCTTCTAAAGCCGGTTCTGCTCACGTCCTTGTAGGCGAGCGCCACCGAGACCTCGCTGCCGCCCCTCTCCACCTCCCAGTAGTGGCGTCCGCTCAGGCTCTCCCTGCTCAGCACCTGGTACATCTCGTCAAATCTGTCCTGGTGGACGGAACAAAGCTGCCTCTCAACCGCCACCGATGCTTTTCTGTTCCCGTCGGATAAAGACAGATTGGGGTTTGCCGTGTTGGGATCCAGTGTGAGCTGTTGGGAGAGCTGGAGAAACTCGGCTCGGGTTTTGGGTTCTCCTTGTGGAGGCAGAAGGCCCAGTTTGGTCTCAGCCAGGGAGATCTTGGTTTGCACGTCGGTGAGGATGTCCTGGAGTTTGTCTCGGACCTCGTTGACAGCCTCGTTGACGTCCTCAAAGTAGAGCAGCGTGTGGACGTGGACGCTGAAGGACTCTGTGGGTTCCCTCAGACACGACAGCGAGGAGTAACTCTGCAGGAACCGAGTGTGGTTCTCCGTGTTCGACAGCTGCTCCAGCTCAACGTTCCTCCTCTTCAGCTCGCTGATCTCCTGCTGCAGCTTCTCCTCCAGCTCCTTGGCTCGACTCACCTCGTTCTTCTGCTGCGACCTGATCTGCTGCTTCACGTCGGCGCTGGTGTTCTTGACCAGACGGAGCAGCTGGGCGAACACCTTGTCGCTGCTCTTCGCGGCTTTGTCAGCGGACCGGTTGACGGCCTCCACCTCCTGCCAAAGCACCTCCACGTCTCTCTCTCTGTCCTGGATCCTCTGCTGGATCTTCTGCCGGCTGGAGATCAGCTCTCCCTGCTTTTCGGTGCGTTCTGCCGAAGCCGGAACCGTGTTGTGGTCTTTGTGTTCGTCCATGGCGCAGAAAGTGCAGATGCATTTCTGATCGGTGCGGCAGAAAATCCTCATTTCTTTACCGTGATGAGGGCAGATGTTCTCCTGGAGCTCCGTGGACGGCTTGATCAGCTTGTGCTTCTTGAACGCAGGAGATTGATAGTGAGGCTGGAGGTGTTGCTCACAGTAAGAGACCAGACACTGCAGACAGGACTTGACAGCTTTCAGTTTTCTCCCAGTGCAGAANTTTTCTTTCATGTTTTATTAGTGCAACAAATCTACTGTTTACAAGAAAATGAGTATTTGTTTGGAGTTGATATAGATGCAGCGTTGTAAAGATACCAATAAACGCTGCTGCCTTGATTGGTTTCCTCTGGTTGCTCCTTAACTACATATTTTCGTCCTTAATCAGATGTTTTTTCTTTTAAATTGTGTTTCTTTTTCTTCTTTCACGCTGCTCTGATGTTGGTAGTTTGCTCACGCGCCCACCAGATCTAAACAGTGAGCTCTTCAAACTGCATATGAAGTGTGAGCAGCAGCTGGAAATAATAAATTATTGCTGTATATGTAGAATATTAAAACAAGAGAAAATCAAACATCTGTGAATAGCTGGGGCGCTGGCTCCAGCACTGCTCTACGAATGGCTCAAATATTTATCTAGTTATCGAGACGGGGCGTTATGACGGCGTTATCACAGAAATACTTCATTTTCAGTGAAGTCCGTCTGGGTCGAAGCATATTCACTAAATCTGATTTATCTCTTCAGCATTTCAAGAGAACTAGAAAAATAAATTAAAAATAACGGCTGCAGATGTGGTGCTGCTGTCTTCTCTTTGTCTCACACAACAGTATATTAAATATCTGAATGTCTCCTGAATATCTGGACAAAACAAGCTTTTTATTCACAATTTTCATTTTATAGACCGAACAACTGATCTGCTCGTATTAATTAATCAAAAGTAACGTATCACATACAGTCGTCCTCAAATGTATTCATATCCGTCCATTAAAGAAAAGGCAAAATTCACAATAGTCACTCAAATTGAATTTTTAAATAATAATAATCATTGAATTTCCCTTCTGGGATGAATAAAGTATTTTTCATTTCATTTCAAATAACTAGAAACTGAAAAAAGTAATAAGAAATAAAAATTTGCTAAATTATAATTTAGTGAAATAAGACGTTGCGCTTGAATTGTGGTTAAAAAGAATAATTAAATAATAGATGAATAAATAAAATCTGTCCTGGACTAATGAGAGGCCTTTGCTGATGAGCAGTGGGTCAGAATACCTGTCAACAGGTGCAGAAGTCTGACTGAGAGTTACAGAAAACACCTGACGGCAGTGATTGGCTCAAAGCGTTGTTCAACCAAATGTTAGTTTACGAGTCCCATCATACTTGTTTGCTTGTGTTTTTTTATAGCTCTGTTGAACCACAATTCAAAAACAATGTCATGATTTTCATTAAATTTTTATTTATTATTACTTTTGTCAATTCCAATTTATTTCAGTGACAACCATTTTATTCCGTCTTTAATGGGAGGTGATGAACACATCTGAGGACGACTGCACTTTAAAACCATTTGTTCATTTGTTCATTACCAAAACATTGTGAATTTTCAACAAAACGAACCGAACTCCAGTTTAATTTTAGTCTATTTGTCACTTAAAAGCTCTACAAGAACTGTGTAAAAATGAAGTAAGAATATTTCAATCTGAAATGATCCGATCGAAAGCGGACATTAAACACCAGCTCTGAGGACCAGACATGAAACTGTTTGGTGATAAATCAACAACAAGTTTAATCATTAAATCAAAGCAAACCTGACAACACCGCTCAGCTCTTCTGTTTTGAAGAAACTCACAATTAGATCAACCTTTAAACAAAATTCAACATTCTTTGGGGAATTTGTAATGAACGTTTATCATTCTCACAGATTGTGCATGAAAGGCGGCGTCACCCGGGGGTTTGTGGAAGCTCTTCGGCGTTTCGTTGTTGCCGTCTCAGCTTGAACGGGAGCAAAAAATTACCAAATAAACATCAAGCTGCACTGAAAGAGACTCGAAGCCAGTGTTTTAGATCGTAATCTCGTTTGAATATTGTTTACAGAGGTGACAAAATAAGCGAGAAAGTGGCTCATTCTCTCATAGACGTCTAAATAAATCGGACAACCACAGTCGCCCCCTGCTGGCTGGAGGAAGGAACGCAGGTTTAAGGCACTTTTCGGATGCAGAGGCCACTTCCATCTTTTACATACACGTCCTGGCGTCCTAAAGACTCGAGAGTGGTGGACTAAAAGTAAAATAATAACAGATTCAGGAGCCAAACTCATCTGTCTCCGTGTCAGACATTTGGCAAAGTTGTGATTAAAGCCAACGTTAAACACACTTTTCACTCTGCACCAAAAAGTAAAGTCAACTTTCTCCTCCATGGGTGGTGAGAAACCAGATGAGCCAAACTCAGCACTCAGTCCTGGTTCTGTGTCTCCAGCCCTCAGCAGCCCAGAGGCGCCGCCAGCTCCTGCAGCAGCTTCTCCTTCTCCTGCTGCAGCTCCAGGACGCTCTGCTTGTTCTGCTCCAGCCGGTCCTCCAGCCACTGCAGCAGCGGCCCGCTCACCGCAGACATCTGGCTGCACAGGTTCTTGGTGAACACCGAGCCGTTGTGGATCTTGGTGACGGGGTCCAGGTGCGCCAGGCTGTGGATCTTGCGGTACGTGTCCTGCTCCTCCTGGCACAGGATGCGCGGCAGCTCCACGGCCGACTCCAGGCACACCTTCCCGATGGCCTCCCGCGGCACCACGTGAACCGGGATCTCCACGCGCTCGTACTCGGAGCCCTTCTGCGCCTGCACCGACTGGAAGCAGGTGTACAGCACGCGGCCCGTCTTGGTGTTCTTGTCCTCGATGAAGCAGGAGAAGATGAGGCCCACGAAGCACTGGTCCAGCATCTGGTACATGGCCTGGGTGCGCACGTCGACGTGGGAGGGCCACACGGTGATGTGCGGGTGCGAGTGGTACCAGCCCACCACGCGCATCGGCCGGCCGGTCATGTCCGCCAGCCGCTCCGCCTCCGTGGAGGCCGCCGACAGCTGCTCCGGGGAGATCTCCACCCGGTCCTTCCTCTTGTCGGAGCGGCGGAGGATGATGACGGAGTGGATGTGGACGATGCGGGACGCCTCCACCTCGCCGATGCACAGCCCCATCACCTCCTCCTTCTCGGTGCTCAGCGCGTGGTTCATGCACACCAGGAAGGCGTCCGACTCCAGGTGGACCGCGCTCACCGCCATGGCTCCGGGTTCAGGTCGGCGTTCAGGCGAGAGAGACGCGAAAACATCAACAGAGCCGAGAGCGGCGGCTTCACTTCCGCGTTCTGACGCGTAACACCCAAAACACTCCGGGTCAGCGCCGACGTCACTCCGCCACGGACGAAAGGTTCCGCTTAACTGCTGTTATTTCTGATTCTGTCTTTGTTGAAAAATAATTTATATAAAAATAAGAAATTATTCAAATACAATTAAGTACAAACCAACAATTAAGTAGTAATTACATTTTCATAAAAATATTCAACTACAAGTGAAGAGTTCATTTGCAACAACACATAACTCCATTTTTGTAGATTTTCAGAAACCTTATTTTTTTGTTGTTTGCTTGAGATAAAATCAATCCAACTGAAGCTGAGTGGATCTGACTCAGTAGAAATGACAAAAACAGAGATAACTTAAGTTTGATTGATGTTGTCTCAGGTAGACGATGGAGACGTGGGTTTTCTGAAGGTTGGTGAAGATGGATTCTCTGTTTCTGCAAATGAACTCTTCAAGTGTCTTGTGGTCACGCTGAGAAAATTATTTTATAATTTATTTATTTGTAAATTTTCTTTCCTTTTTTAGAAATTTGCTGCAGGCCAAATAGACCTTTTTTTTCTTTCTTTCTTTTTTTTTTTTTTTTTTAAATAACCAGCTCAATATTGCCACGTAAAACTACAACAGGAGGAGTGTGGTGAGTAAATTAGTAAAATAATTTCTGGGAATTTTTATTCAGGATTAATTTAAAGAATCATTCAAGCTGACAACTTGGTGATAATTCTATAACCTGCTTAGTGCCATATAAAGAAGAAGAAAACAAAATAAAGAATAATTAAACACAGATCTCATCTCAAACAACAATATGTCCTGAAAAGACACTGCTGGTAAAATGTGTTTAGATATAAACGATTAAAGGAGATGAGTGAATGTCAACATCTCAATGACCTCAGATAACCAGACAGTGAGAATACAACACAACAGTGCTGGAATAAAGCTGCCGTTCAGCCGCCAGTGTTGCTCTTCTGTTCGCTTCAGGTAAAGACGGATGAGCGTTTGCTGTGTTTGAACGTATTTACAAGTGTTGCAGTGCGATACATGTTTAGTGCCATTCAGAGGCATGTAGAACAGAGGAGACGATACAGAAAATACATCATCGAACTAAAATTCATTGCCATGGGAAAAATAAGTCATGATTATAGTCAATTATAAAAAGTCCATTATGTTGGAAAAAGCTGAAGTCGACTTTTTCACCCTTAAATTCACGATGGACTGAAAATAAATCAACCAAATATCACTGACACATGCCATGTGAACAACCGAAGCGTTGTGAAGCTTCAGGGATGTAAAGGAACATGGCTGTTTGGTAAAGACCAATAAAAACAACAACACATGAAACCATATATATGTTTATATCATTTTACTGTTAATGTACTTGAAAATATGTAATTCTGCACAAAAACCACAGAAACATTTCTAACAGATTAACATATAATAAAACCTGAGAAGTATGAAGCTCACAGTGGGCGGGTGGTTAACATTTACTGCAGATACATAAACAAGTGTCATATATTTCCTTCACATAATGTTTTTTTAACACACAAGCATTTCTCTCACACTGTCAACGCCGGAGAAACTAGATCCTAAAAATTGAAATTTAATTAAAGCAGACGAACACAAATGCAATATTAATCCACGGCCATTATATTTCTGTTATATCTTATTATTGTAAATTATAGTGTGAACAAAAAAGAAAAAAACTTTGCAAAAGTAAAAATACACACACACACATATATACACATACATATTTGTTAAGCACTGTGTATATACCAGCAAATAAAGCAGAGCAGCAACGGTGAGGATGTTTACCAGAAAATTGTTTCTGGAACAACTCCAGTTTAGTTCAGCTCACAGATCTCAGCTGCGGATTCTGAACCGAGGAAATGATAAGCCCGAAGCCCGGCATAAAGAGGCTGAGTGAATGTGGTCCTGACTCTGTAGAGGAGAGTCATGGAGTCAGAGACTCTGTAGAAGGACAGAACACCTGCTTTGTGATCCAGATAGACTCCGATTCTGGGGGACGAGGGGGCTGACAGGATGTCGTAGGATCCGTCATGACCTAATTCATAACTATTGCTTAATGTACACAGCACTGACCAAGACTTGTCATTGTTCCCAAACTTGCTGCTGTCTCCTGCTCTGCTTATATCTTTGTATGCGACGGCGACATAAATACCAAACTCGCTCCACTCCACCTCCCAGTAATGACGTCCGGTCAGAGCTTCTCTGCTCAGGACTTGANTGAACCAGACTTTACAAACAACTGTACACTGTTGTGTTTTTGTACTTAAATACCTTCTGTTTTTATTTTAATTATCACGATTCGACACCTGCTTTTTATTGTAAAGGGGACCTGATGCAAAAAATTCAGTCTGTACTATAAGAACACAGGCAGCTGTTGGGGGGGAAAAACCCAGTAAGTAATTATACTGGATACATTTAGGTTCATTTAAAACACACCTGGTTTCCTCGTTGGTGCCTTTTTTTTTTTTTCTTACCAAATATAATCAGTCAAAATGGGTCCAAGGTTGTTTCCTGTTTCAGTGTTTGTTACTATCAGCCGGTGACAGGAAATGAAGCTGTTTCCTAGCAACCTGTTTCCAGTGAAGGGGTCTTCAGAGATTTATCTTTGGATCATGTTGCTCACGTTGTCATCTTTATAAAAAAAAAAAGGTTTTATTGTGGCTTCCATGCAGACCTGCTGCGTTCACTCACAGCTTAAGATGATATGATTTGCTGTAAAAATGATACTGCTGCAGAAACTGTGGGCTTTTTTTGGTTTGTTTTTTAAATAAGAGCATCCTTTCATCCTCCTGCTGCATCTCGTCTAACATCCCATCTTGTTGTTTTATTTCTTATCTTTTGAATTCAGTCATGCAAAACATCAGTGGAGTAATTTACTGTTTCCACCTGTTGAACATTTAGGCCGAAGTGAATGAAGGAGGAAACTGAAGGCTTTAGGACCATGAGGAGGCTCTGCTGTAAGGCTGGATAAATGAGTATGTGCTGTACTCCTACCGTGGTGCCTTCACGGGCTGCGGGAATAATCATCTCTACATCTTTCATGAGTGTGTAATTCTAAAAAAAATGTAAATTTTCCAGTAAAAAATAAAGCTGTAGCTTCATTTTAAGTATTTCTGCACTTGCGTCTCTAAAATTGAACTTGTCATACTTGTAAAAGTCAATGCTAGTACATGTATTTGAGTTTTTTAGTTTGTTTTTGTTTTTACATGTCAATAGAGTCCATTAAGTCTTACAAAAGCAGCAAGTTNGGAGGCAGGGAGGTGACAGGAGGAGTTAAAGGGCTCCGGTTCATTCCAGGAAGAGGAGTGGCTTCAGCGAGGCAGCGTGTGCTCACAGTTACAGATTATAGCACTCTGTTTGCTCACAGAAACAACACAACCAACCTGGACGAGCAGGAAGTTACACAACGAGCCCAAATCTTCACTTTTAATTTACTTTTATCTTTGTGGAGCAACTCTGGACTCAGTCTGAGTTTATGACTTCAAAATGACTTTATGGTCTGTAAACTCTGAACAGTCCAATAACAGGAAGCAGAGATGATTTTACAGCACTGGTACGACGTTTACAGGATGTTTTGAGTTGATTTAACGTTATCAGTGTTAAAACTTTGCTCCCAGTAGACCACAACTAGAACAACAATCTGATGCAACATTCAAACAGCTGCTTTATGAATATCCCATACACTTCAATATCATTTTCTGCAACGTAATAAGTTCCACATTCAGAGGAATCTGTGAAATAAAACGTCTGGAAGAATCGATGCCATATCAGCAGGACTTCAGCAGATTTGTTGACATTTTCGGTGGCATTAAGAAAAGCTTTTCCCATCTCATGTTCATATATTAACCACTATTTTTGCTTCAGAGTGTAATTTCGTCGCTGGATGTGTCTCGAATTTTGGGCTGCTGTCTGGCAGCCTTTGAGAAAGTTTAATTATTCTATTTTTTAGACTCCACTTCTAGTTTTTCAGTTTGGTTTAAGGCTTCGGTGTCATACCTGCTTCTCACCAGCAGGTGTCCTCTTTCGCTCAGGTTTAGCCGTTTACTTTCCTTCTAGTTTCCTCTTCTGCATCATCTGTTCATTGGTTAATACGGCTTCGATTTTCTTCTTCATGTTTCTGCTGCTTTGCAGATTCTGAATCAGCGACATGATGAGAACTAACAGAGGAAACTTCAGGTTTTTATCTTTATTAGTTCCTCAGATATTGTCGTTCAAACAGCCTCAAATTTCAATGTGCGACAAAAAAAAAAACCTGCTGACAGTGGGCACTTCTATGAAAGGTTATCTCAGAAGGTGTTTGACATACCAAGCTACAACTTCACAGATGTCATTTTAAATATCCAGAGTTTATGATATAAAAGTTTGAAGGAGCAGAAGCAGAAGAACTCTGATGATTTGAGATGAAATAACTCAGCTGCATTTCTTTAATCATTTATGATATTTATAGTTCTTTTTGGTTCCTTATCTTTAACTCTCTCGCTCTGGTTTAACTCCAGGCCCTGATGCGACGCTCTCTGTACCTCCTGACTAATTAAAAGGAGAAACATGACAAGCTGAATCGCGTCTCCATGGCAACGGCTTGTAAAAAGTTTGATCCTGAAACATTGGCGCGTACGGAGGAAGATGCCTGTTCTCAGAGGAACCGCTCAACGACGTCGCCACACGTTCACCACGTCGGCTGCTAGAAAAAAGACGTGTTTGTTCTGGAGTTCAGCGTGTTTGCAGAGGCGCCTGGTATCCATGGCGACCGGGATGCAGCCAATGAGATTGGGCCGAGGAAGAAGATGTAGCTTCAAGTTGAATGTGTTCGACAAGTACATTAGATGCTACAAGAAGAAGACGAGACTCTGAGTGGAAAAACAAAACAGCCAAAAATACAAGTCTGGTGTTCAGCTTTGATCAAACAAGTTTCTGCTTCGTGTTCTCTGATTACAACTAAAGACAAAAACCTCTGAGGAGTCGGCACACACATGTAGTATATTTAAATAAAACAATGCTGCTAAAAACGGTGTCTTAGTAGCAGGACGCTGCACAAAAAGTCAAAATGTGTGCATCGTCTACACAGTGGTCGAGTTTGAGGAGAATCGAGGGTGAGACATAAAGACAAAGAGTTAAATCTGAATAATTTAAGGCATAAATAGATTATTTATTGTTTATTTTAAGGGGTTTTATCAATGCTAGAAGAGGATTTTTAATGGGGAATAATACAGGCTTTGGATACACACGTGTCAGGTTATGGTTAAAAAAAACAATCCACTCACTTGTAACAAAATTACAGGAATTTAATTAGTTTTAAGTTATAAGTAAAACGTTTATAG